GTTGGGCCTGAGTTTGCCGCTGCTGCCTCTCTGAGAGCGCTTCAGCCGGGAGCAGAAGGCGGAGACCCCCGCGCCGCCATCTTTACTCCTCCCGCCACTAGCACCGCCCGTACGCTCCCTCGGCTACAATACGCAGGCGCTGCCTGAGCTGCGGGTCATCACGGGACTTGTAGTGAGCCACCGCCCCTGAGGGTACTCCGTGGCCATAGGAGAACTACAAATCCCTAGATGCATCAGAAACGAGGCGAGGACCTGCAGTGCCCTCCTTCGCCGCGGGGTCACCTTTGCCCTAAAGCTGGAACTGTGTCCTGGACCGACGTCAGTCTCTTCCTCTGGGCATTTTGGGAGTCGTAGTTTATACCTGTTGTGACTACTAACTAATCTTAGCGCCCTAATGATCGCATTAGTTTTGTAGAGTGGAAAGGGGTAGTAATTATCTCTATTTTCTAGTGGGGAGAACTAGACTTGAAGTGCTGGACTCGAATCCATGTCCTGGTTCTAAAGCTAGAGTTTCATTAGCAGTTACTAATCACAGTAAACGTGAGTAATCTCGGAGGGGAGAAACATACACACACACATACGGTATAGCACGTTTTACACAAGCGTTTCAAACATGACACTTACTCCAAGCCCGGAAAAGATTTCAAAGAAAAGGATGCATTCAGATGTAGTAGAAAGAGCTTGAGCTTTTAATTTAAATTGAATCCACATCCATATTCAAGTTTCTTGACTTCTCTGAGCCTGTTTTCTTAAGTGTAAAATGGGAAATAATAATACCTCCCGGGAGAGTCGTGCAGATCAAATAAGATAATATATGCAAGACTGTCTGGTGCTATCTCTGGCACACATTAGCTCCCAATAAATATTAATTTCCCTTCTTTCTCTTCCTTCTCTACTCCTTTTATGACTCTTAAATTCTTAGACAAAATGGATGTCTTGTCTTCCATCTTTTTTTCCAAAGCTACTGAAAGATACTATGAAGCATTCTAGACTCCTAAGGTAGGAAGTAAGATATTTTCCTATTCACCATGAAATCAGTAATGAAATCTATCTGATTGATTTAATTGGTTTATTATTATTGGTTGGTTATTGATTTATTACTATCCAGGGCCTTAGCCTTGGACAAAATTAAATGTGTTACCCATAATGAAGAAGAATATTTACAAGTATTTTGTCTTTTTTTGTTTGTTTATTTATTTACTTACTTATTTAAGATATAAAGATTTATTGGTTTATTTACCTTCATTTGCTATTATAATTATTTTTTAATTTGACCAGAGAGAGAAAGTGAAAAAGCAAGTCACCAGGTCCAGGACTTGAACTGCAGTCAGCAATATGAGAGTCCAGCATCTTAACCACCATGCTGCTTGCCAGTCCCAGTACTTTGTTCTTTAGACTTTTCTTCATGTTTGAAATTATTTATTGAAAATGTTGCAAAAATTATTACAGCATTGTAAAGGGAAACTTTATTATATTTTATTCTGTGAACATTTTCCTGTTCCTCAGAGTTCCTTGAAATGAACTGCAAATCATAGAATGAGAAAATAAATGAGTCAGCAAATCGAAAGCCTCAAATGAAAAGGGGCATATAAATGCAAACTATGAATAACACTGTGGCTATCCACCATATGCTTTTGTTGTGTAGTCTTAAATACCTTAGAAATACTAATTAAGCCTTACAACATCTTTCCAACAATGAATAGCAATGTGTATAAAAATAATCAAGATGTGATAGTATATATGTACATTATATAACCTTATTTTCTTCTTTCTTCACTACATGCATTTATTCAGTCACCACAGAACTTGTTATGTCTCATTTACTGCAATTAAAAATTCTTTATGAAATTTACTTTGTAACTTGTCAACATGAGACCTCTTCTTATTCCAGCTCAGTCTTGCTGATAATTAAAATTACCCACAAGGTCATAAATAGAACCCTCCCTAAAGAATAAAGGAAACGTTGATATTAAATCAGATAGGAAGGAACGCTCAGCTAAAAGCCTAACCCTCTTCATAAACCTCATGCTTTTTTTTTTTTTTTTTTGAGAGAGAGATTTTTGCTGTAGGACACCTGCACTCGCCAGAGAGACAGAGACATAGAAAGCGAGAAATCACCCCTCCCCCCCAGGGAGGATGACCACGCCACAATCCCTTCTCTTCCATCTCCTCTTGGGATTTTGGACATGCATGCACATGCACCCAGCATGCATTTTTTAAACTGCTGGGTCTGGGACTCAAACCACATGAGAATTGACTACATGGGGGTCCAGTGATGTAAACGTTACTGTCATCTGCTGGTCCCCCTCATGCATCATTTTAATGTTATATTCTTGGTATACTACACACACACACACACACACACACACACACACATACACACACATATATGTTCATTATATAAACTTTATATTTTACTACATACTGGTCTTCTGATAGGAATTTTAAACAGGAGTAGATTTTTCAAGGATTAGTAATGTTCTATTTCTTTTGGCTATAGTCTTTTTATATTCAGAATCTGGAAACAAGAAATATCTGGTTCCAGTTATATACATAAGCTAAAATTGCCTAAATTAAATTCTTACCTCCTCAAGAAGTATGAGTTTAAAATTTAACAGAAAGAATTCAATCTCAATGCTAAGAGATAGAGAGTACCTCTTTACCATTCCTGTTTTATGTGTTTTTTTCCTCCCCCCCCCTTTTTTTTGGTGGTGGTAAGAGTATAATACCCTCTTTTAAGATTTTACAGAAAAGAAAGTAGCTATGTTTCTTGAATTATTTAAATGTATATTTACCTAAAGGGAGAGGATAGTTGTATCACATTGTAATGTGATTATTAAAATAGTAATAATTAGCATATTCTGTTGATAATTTAACTGGCTCGGCCAGAAAAAAAAATATGTATGTGTATAATATATATACACACACATACATATATATGTATATATACACACATATATGTATTAATATATACACACATATATGTATGTACTCACACACATATGTATATAAAACCAAAATGTTTATGTATCTATAATGATTTGAACTTTTCAGAGTTAAAGTCAGATCCAGCCTCAGTGGTGCACAGGTAGCCCCACTGCTTGGGAGACTGGAAGCTTCAGGAGAGGTCCAGGTTCCATTCTCAGGCCAAGCTCTGTGCCCTCACACGTATGTAATCCTGGCTAGTCAGGATGCTAAGGTAGGATGATTATGACACAGTGAGACCCTGTCCAAAGAAAACAGAAAACAAACAAAAAAATTATCTTTCTCGCTTTCTCTCTCCACCCCCAAAGGAAAAAAGATTAAAGTCATAAAAGATTTTTTCAAAGCATCATTCTTCCAACCAGGGCTCTCTGGGAATAAATTTACGCAATCAGTTCGTTAAATAAATATATTAGTTTAAATTCCTAAATAGATACTCTGTTCTAAGGAAAAATCTTTTATATGGTGAGTAGATCCTTCCCAATAATCAAATATACAAATAAATATTATTTTGTGCTTTTAAAGGTGTACTAAGTGAGCCAACCATGATGCATTCTTGTATCCAATGAAACTTTAAAAAATAACAATTTTCCATTCCCTTAAAAAACAAATTGTAATATTAGACTACTCCATTTTTTTAAAGCAATGACACCTGTAGACAATTTATGAAAATCTTTCAGCCTGTCCTCTATTTCCACCAGTTAACATATCACCCTCTGGTGGACAAATGAAAATTGTACACTTACAGTGTGAGGTCCTTTCCTTTCCTTTCCTTTCCTTTCCTTTCTTTTCCTTTCCTTTCCTTTCTTTTCCTTTCCTTTCCCTCTTTTCTTTCTTCTCTTCTCTCTTTTTTCTTTCTCTCTGCCTCTCTCTTTCTTTTCCTGTATTTCCTTCCTCTCACTTTCTTTTCTTTCTCTTCCTTCCTCCTTTTCTTCCCTTTCTGTTACCAAAGCTATCGGTATTTGCTTGTTTTATCATACCAGCTCTCCTTTTCACCATACCCAATACAGCTCTTGCTCTTGTCAAGAGACATTTTAAAATTTTTTAAAATTGAATTTTATTTATTATTATTATTGTTTAATTTGACCAGAGAGAGAGAGAAAAATGGAAAGTGAGAAAGCAAGTTGCCAGGTCTGAGACTCGAACCGTGGTCAACCATGTGGGAGTCCAGCATCCCAACCATCATGCACCTGCTGGCCCATCAAGAGACATTTTTAAGACCTGTTTCTCGGAGACCACCCAAAGGTATGACCAATTCAGTTCTGAAGACAGAATTGAGATAGAATTACAGTTGGAGTAGGAAGAAAATAATGGAAAACATTAAAACAGTAGTATGATAGAAGACACTTCACTAAAATGAATAAATGCTAACAATAAGTGTAAAACCCTAATAGGTAGCTGGGATTTAGATTGAATCACAGCAGAATTCTTTGTGTTTATTTAATAATTTCTTAATCATTCACAAGGTGTTTTAACTGGTTCATTCCTACAAGTGAAGTGAAAGACCCCAGGACAGAATCACGGACTCCTAGTGAATATGCGGGCCCCTCCAGGAGAGAACACAAACCATGCAGTGGTCCTGGGAGCCACCGGCTACTTGACGCCAATTTGAGCTAAATGATGAAACTGCTACAGTGGCCAAAGCTTTGTTAGTTTACAAGTTTAGGAAGACTCTTTACTTTTGTACCACAACTTATTCTAAACTGGAATAAGATGAGCCGTGCTAAGAGTACTGATATGAGGGTTGTTTTGATTTCCCACTCATAGATTTCCCAAAGGGGAGTCATGTCTCCTAGATTCAAGTGAGGTGTGAGCCATTTTTTTTTTTTTTAGAGGTTTTTGTCTTAGGGCATATGTGCTCTCTGGAGAGACAGAGATAGTGAGAGGGAAAGTGAAAAATCACGTTTCCCAGGGGGGATGGCCATGTCGCAATCCTTTCTCTTCCATTTCCTCCCAGGATCTTGGGCACAGTCCCACACACACTCAGCTTGAGTTTCAAGCCACTGGGTCCAGGACTCGAACGACTGTCGACTATGTCGGAGTACATCAATGTAACAGCTACATCATCTGCTGGTCCCAGGTGAGCCATTGTTTAGTTCTTGTGGAACATTCATCTTTTGCAATGACAGCTCTGAAGTCAAGGCTGGCTAGTTATTAATAAACATGCACTTTCTGGGTCAGAAAGTACACTTCCAGATTAGAAGACAGCTTACAAGTCACCTATTCCACACTTCCACCCGATGCAAGAATCCCTATTACACTTACGAATGATTACCTAATTTTCACTTGAACTCATCCAGTGTGGAAAGAATTCACTACTTCCCATTTACCTATTTCAGTCTTCAGTTCAATTGATAGAATGCTCTTATAAAAAAAAAAAAAAAAAAAAAAAAAAAAAATTAAGAATTATTTATCTAATTTTTTAATTTATTCATTCATTTATTTTAATTTGACCAGCGAGAGAGAGGGAAAGTGAGAAAGCAAGCCACCAAGTCTGCAACAGGAACCATGGTCCGCCATGTGGGAGTGTCTAGCTCCTTAACCACCACGCCACCTGCTGGTCCCCGATAGAATGCTTTATAGAGCTAAATTTTGCATCCCTTTAACTTTCCTCTATTGGTCTTACGTGTACCCTATGAAGTACTTCTGGGTGAAGTGGAAATAAAGACACTTCGCCGCTCTGACAAACAGTGAGGAGCTCCTAATATCCTCAGTGGTCACACCACACCATGTGATGCATCCCGGGCATCGCAGAGACCCGCTCCGCAACTCGCTGCAGCAAATAAGAATTTGAATGACTGCGTCCGGTACGCGCTCTAATTTGAATATGGCGCCTGTGGACGCAAGCTAAGAACGGTGGCCAATGGGGGACTGCGCTCTTCTCCTAGTCCCAGCTGTTAGCCAATCACAATCTCCGCAAGGCGGGAGGCGGAGCCACGTCAGCAGTCCGGGCTCGCGCAGGCGCTGTACACAGTTGATCGGCGAGCCGCTCTGTTGTGAGCCAAGGAAGAGTAAGAGTCTTCGGATACCCCACCTGAGAGAGCTCAGGTAAGAGTCTTCGGGTACCCCACCTGAGAGAGCTCACCCTGAAAGAGCCTACTGCAGGTCTTGAGGGGAAGGATGTTTCTGCCTCAGGAAAGCGGCTGTTGAGTAGCGGCTCTACCTTCGCGACAGGAAATCGTGGTCGGACCCGCTTTCCTGCCCCAGGAGGGGAAATTTGCCCCCGTGGAAAAGGTGTAGCTCGCCGCGCGATGTGCACAGGCTGTTCTCTTGACTTTTTCAACATCTGGCGCTACCCCACGTTTCGCTCATTATCCAAATTCACATCAGGACTGGATACAAAACCTTGAGAAGGCTAGGGATCTGTCCTCTGGGAATTCGCCCCGTTGGGAAGCGCTCAAAGATGAGTGACAGGGACCAGCAGATGGCGTGACGGTTACCTCGCTGGACTCCCACGTAGCTGACCGCCCTCCCAGGCCTGGACCCGGCGGCTTAAAACTCTCGCCGGCCTGTGTGCGTGTGTGCCCAACATCCCGAGAGGAGAATGGAGGACAAGGGATGTCTGCGTGGCCATCCCTCCTGAGGGGTGATTTCTTGCTTTCTGTCTCTCTCCGTCGAGCGCACGTGCCCTGTGGGGAGTGGGGGGAGATGAATGACAAACAGTTCAGATTGATGGCGAAGAGCACTGACCTTTGAAAGGTGGAATGAATCAGGATACGTTGCTGGAGAAGACGTTGTAATGCAACGTGTCGGTAACTGTAGGTGTGAAAGAGAATGACTTTTGTGGGCAACAGGGATAGGTCAGTGTGGTCGAAGCATAGATATACGTGGAGAAGTTACTGGATTGAGCGTGGAAACACGGTCTGGGGCCAGATTGTAAAGGACCTTTATACCCAGAAAATAAACTGCAATTGATGGCTACACTTGTGGATGATCCCTCCACCGCCTCCCCAAGGGGCATGGTCACACTGCAGTCCCTTCTTCATTTCTCCCCCTCCTGGGATTTGGGGCATGCACACACATGCACCTGGTGTGTTTTTCAAGCCTCCTGGGTCCAGGACTCGAACCCTGCAGTTTCTAACCACCAGGCTATGGGCTGATCCTGATCATTATTTTATTGTCATTGATTCCAAGTACATATCTGCTTACTGAGAAAATAGTAAACATCTGTAAGTAAAGGATGAGGTGGGGCCAGCAGACATCTAGTGGTTTCATCTCATCACTGTACTCCCACATGGCCAACCACAGTTAAGAGTCCCCGAACCCCTGACTTGAAAATCACACCAGGCACATGTGCATGCTTGCCCAAGATCATAGGCGGAGAAGGGAGCAGACATGACCATCCCCCCTAGGGGATGATTTCTCACTTTCCCTATCACCGCCTCTGTCTCTCTTGGTTAGTGCACGCACCCTAAGGCAAAAACCTGGTCTTCAGGTATAGCCAAAAAAATTTGGAATGTAAAGAGTAATTTATATTTAAAAAATTGCTGTAATAAATTGACTAATATAACTCACCTATAGTATCTTTCATTGTATTTAAATGTTTCTGAAAGAGTAGGGGAAACTATGCCTAGAGGTTAATCAAGACTCCCTTCTTTCACTTTGCATATTATTCACGTTTCATCCATGTTATAGCATGTATCAGACAATTACTTTTTGTTCCAGAACAATATTCCATATTATGGACATCCCACATGTTTTTTATCCATTCTTCAGCTGTTGTGCATTTGAGTTGTTTCCATTTGTTGGCTATCACAAATAATGCTGCTACAAACATTTGCTTGTGGATTTTTGTGTGCACGTGTGTGTTCAGTTCTCTTGAATATATATGGAGAGGTGGAACTGCAACGATCATGAGATTACACAACTCTGTGTGAGACATTTTGAGGAACTGTCAAGCTGTTTTCCAAAGCAACTTTATGCTTTTGCATCCTCACCAGCAACCTGTGAGGGCTCTAGTTTCTTCACATCCTCATCAACAATTACACGTTATGGGCCCAGCAGATGGTGTAATGATTACGTCAGTGGACTCCCACATGGCTGACCATGGTTCAAGTCTCAGACCTGGAGGATTGAAACTCATGCCTGGTATGTGTACAGGCTTGCCCAAAATGCCAAGAGGAGAATAGAGGAGAAGGGATTGCTGTGTGGCTGTCCTCCCCACGGGGTGGGGAGCAATTTCTTGTTTTCTGTCTCTCTGTCTCTCCAGTGAGTTCATGTGCCCTATAGCAAAAAAAAAATTTTTTTTTACATGTTATGTCTTTTCTTTCTCTTAAGTCTATTTCCTTCTTTTTTTTTTTTGGAGAGGTTTTCGCTATAGGGCGCGTGCGCTCGCCAGACAGAGAGAGACATAGAGACAGAAAGCGAGAAATCACCCCCCGGGGGGATGGTCACGCCGCAATCCCTTCTCCTCCATTCTCCTCTCGGGATCTTGGGCACGCACGCACATGCGCCTGGCGTGAGTTTTAAGCCATCGGGTCCGGGACGCGAACTGCGGTCAACTACGTGGGAATCCAGCGACATAGCCATTACGCGAACTGCTGCTTCCTAAGTCTATCTCCTTCTTGAGGGAAGGAGAAACACACACCTTCGATAGGGTCTTCTCCCAGCCCTGCAGCCAGTCAGCATCACAGGCACACCTGTTGTGTTGAGGCAAACTCACGGTGCTAATCCAAAGCATTCCTGGTCTTTCTATGCAGGCTCTAGTATGACCCAGCAGCACCTCACCACCAGCTTCACCACACCTGGGCAGTCTGTCTTTTTGATTATAGTTGGTCTAGTGGTTGTGAAGTGATAATCTCATTGTGGTTTTGATTCTCATTTCCCTGATGAGTAATGATGTTGGACATGTTTATTTGTGCTTGTTGGGCCGTCTGTATATATTCTTTGAAGAAATGTCTATTCAATCCTTTGCCCTTATTTATTTAATTTTTTTTGGAGAGGTTTTTGCTATAGGGTGCATGCGTTCACCAGAAAGACAGAGACAGAGAGACAGAAAGTGAGAAATCACCCTTCCAGGAGAGCTGGCCATGCCGCAATCCCTTCTCCTCCAGTCTCCTCTCAGGATCTTGGGCACGCACGCACACACTCTCGGCATGAGTTTAAGCCACATGGGTCCAGGACTTGAGCTGTGGTAGACTACATGGGAGTCCAGCGACATAGCCATTACGCCATCTGCTGGTTCCCCCTTTGCCCATTTTGAATGGGATTATTCGTCTTTTTATTATTAAGTTGTTTATATATTCTGGGTTTGAACAAGTCCCTTTGCAGGTATGATTTGTAAGTGTGTTCTCCTTTTTATTGTTACCATTTTCTTCTTGGTGCCCTTTGAAGCACAAAACCTTTTAATTTTTTTTCTTTTTGGTAGATATTAATTGGCTTTTATTTGTGATTCTAGAATGAGACAATAGTTGGCATTAAAAATGGTTTTGAATGCTTCCAAAGCTTTTCATTTTAATGAAGTCACATTTATCCTTTTGTTGTTGTGGTTGCTTGTGCCCTAGGTGTCATATGTAAGACTTTGTGCAACCTAAGATCACAAAGACTTGCTATTTGTTATGTTTTCTTCTTCTTCTGTTGTTTTTTTTTCCCCCTCAATTTTGTTAGCGGGTACTTATGTGCACTCGCTAGGGAGGGAGAGAAGGAGAAAAGAGTTGGAGGAAAAATGAGAAAGCACCCCAAATGGGGCATGGTCACATCACAATCCCTTCTCCTTTGTTTCTCCCTCCTTTCAGGATTTTGGGCATAAACACATACATATCTCAGGTGTTTCTCAAACTACCATATCCAGGACTCGAACCACCATTGTCCATTTGGGATTCAGCTGCCTTAACCATCATGCTGTGGACTGGCCCTATTCTTTATCTTAGAAATTTTGTTTCTTTGAGTAGATGAAAGTTTGCCAGAAGGAAATGGGGAAAATCAGACTCCCTTGTCAGAATAGCGATGAATGAGAGGAATCTGTCCTTGACTGACTGCAAGCAACATGCTGGGACTCCAGTCACTATTGCTGACTGTTACTGACCATTCACCTTTCTACCCCAGTGCATCCCGGCCAGCTCTTAGTGCGGAGTGGTGAGCAGTGTGTGCTTCCTTTCACCTGGAAATCATGCAGAGAGCTTCACGTCTGAAGAGAGAGCTGCACATGTTGGCCACAGAGCCACCCCCGGGCATCACATGTTGGCAAGAAAAGGACCAGATGGATGATCTGCGTGCTCGTAGGTGTCACTTCATGCCTATGAGGAGAGTCGTGCCCTATGAAGACAGTGCTGAAAGTCGCTCATGTAGTCTTCTAAAGTAGGGAGCACTTGTAAAGTCAGAGTGCCCTACCATCATTCTACCCTAGTTTACTTATATTTGTAAAAGGTTTGCTTGACAGTTGTTGCTTCTTTGTTTTTGCTTTTATTTTATTTTATTTATTTATTTATTTATTTATTTTTGCTATAGGGTGTGTGTGCTCACCAGAGAGATTGAGGGAGAAAGAGTGAGAAATCACCCCCTGGGGGTTGCCACTCTCTTCTCCTCCAGTCTTCTCTTGGGGTTTTGGGGATGTATGCACATGTGCCCGGTTTCAAGTTGCCAGGTCTGGGCTCTAGCTGCATATACAGCAGCCATGTGGGCCCTGTGCCTAACCTCCATGCCACCTGTTGGCCTACTTCGTTGACTTATTAGACCTTTCTCAGTTTATAGCCAAGATCTGGATATCAACTCTGGGACTGTTTAAGCCAAAGATCACCATCTTAAATATCTGTGAAGCCAGACAAGAGACATAAATGATTCGAATACTGTAATCCAGAGCACATCTGTATGTTGTATTTGGTCATGTGGCCAGCATTTTGCACCTTCTGTTTTAGATCTTCTAAACAATCATGGTGTCCCTTGATTGACACCATGTTAAAACCCTGAGAGGATATTGTATGGGGCTTAGTTCTCTATCAGGACCGTGGGCCTCATTAGGTCCACGTGGTGTGGTAATTCAAATCTTCTGATTCTCTTTTAACTTTTTTTTTTTTTTAAGGAAATATTAGGTGGAACCAACACACCTTATGAGAAAGGGGTTTTTAAGCTGGAAGTTATCGTTCCTGAGAGGTTAGTGTTAATTTCATTCTCAGTCTGTAGGGTAAAGTCCAGTTATTAGAATACAGAACAATGTAGTAGATAGAGAATTAAAAGTGGAAGTTAACAGAACCTGCATTTTAATCCCAGTCTTATCATGACTTAATGTAACCTTGGGCAAGTTATTTTCTCTATCTGAGGTTCAGTTTCCTTCTCTAAAGTAGTAGAGCAGGTTACATCTAAATTCTTTGATTTTTTAAATTATATTAAAGTATACATAACATAATGCTGACCATTTTTGGTGTCTAAGGCCTAGCTGTGGTGGCACAGGCAATGGGGCACTACCGCACAATGCTGGAGCCACATAGGAGGCCTGACTTCAGATTCTGGGTTGACTTGAATATGCTAGGCATGCCCACACACACCCGTGATCCTGGGAGGCTTGGCGGAGATCATGGCATGGCAAGGCCCTACTGGGGGCACTTGCCTGTTTTCTTCTCTGTCTTAATAAAGAAATACACTTTCAAAACAACACACACACACACACACACACACACACACACACACACACACACAGAGTTTTACAGGACATCCTCATGGTGCAGCAGTTAAGCCTGGGACTGAGGGAGCCGGATCCCACATGGCCAAATGTGGTTGAAATCTGGGTCCCAGCAGCCTGAAGAACATGCCAGGCATGTGTGTGAGCAAAATCCTGAAGGAATACATGAAGGAGAGAGGATCGTGGCATGACCACATCCCACTGGGAGTTATGCTTTCTCTCTCACTCTCTAATGAATGCATGTACCTTTTGAGAATTAAAAAGGCACATTTTAAAGTTTACAGTCACTGGCATTAAATTCATTTACATTGTTGTACATTCATCACATCTATCTCCAAAACTTTTCATTTACCTAAACCAAAACTTCATACCAACTCAACAGTGCTTCCCATTCTTCCCCCGCCCCCACCCTGTCCCCTGCCACTGGAAACCACTATTCTACTTTCTGTCTTAATATTAAGGTCCTTCAGGGCCGGCAGGTGGCATGGTGGTTAAGGGCGCTGGACTCCCACATGGCCAACCATGGTTCTTATCCCAGATCTGGTGGCTTGCTTTCTCACTTCCCCTCTCTCTTCTTTCTCTCGTCTCTCATCAAATAAAAATAAATAAATAAATAAATAAAGTAACTTAAAAAAAAGTAAGGTCCTTTAAGTCTCCTTTAAGGTCCTCATCAGGTTGTAGTTTTATACAGAATGAGGAAGGGAAGAAATGGATATCTAACTGTTAAAAAACATAGACATCCAATTACCAGATTAGGTCCTGACCAAATTTGTTAAAGTCCTGAGAAATAGCTTGGTAATCATGTGGTCTATCAGTTCTGAAAATAGACTGGGAACTTTCCAAGGTTTGTGTTCCACCAAAGGGATGTAATAACCAGATGCAGTGTATAAATCTTGTTTTGTTTTGTTTTCAATTTGCCAAAGGGCATGTGTTCTTACTGGGGAAAGAGAAATGGGGAGAGGGGAAAGTGAGGAAGCACTCCCTTGGGGCCTGGTCACATTGAAAACTCTTCTCTTCCATCTTTTCAGACTTTCAGGATTTTAGGCATGCATGTGCACACACGCATCTGGTGTGTTTTTCAAGCTGTCAGATCCAGGACTCGAACTATGTAGTCGGCCCTATGCGATCTATCCACCTCAACCACCAGGCCACAGGCTGCCCTATAATGTATAAATCTTAATGCAATCCTGTTTTAAAAAGTCTAGCTATAAAAGAGTTGCAGGGGGGAAAAGGGTTTGAGGAAATTAGGATAGAAAATTATATTGAGGAATTTTTTAAGCTATCATAACTAATATATTAGTATTACAGCTATATAAGAGAATATCGTTGGGGACCAGCAGTTAGCATAACGGCTATGTCGCTGAACTCCCATGTAGTTGACCACAGTTCGAGTCCTGGACCCTGTGGCTTAAACTCATGCTGGGCTCGTGTGTGTGCGTGCCCAAGATCCCGAGAAGAGAATGGAGGAGAAGGGATTGCGGCATGGCCATCCCCTGTGGGGCGGGGGGGTGATTTCTCGCTTTCTGTCTGGCGACTGCCTGGGCCCTATAGCAGAAACCTCTCCAAAAAAGAAAAAAAAGAGAGAGAGAGAGAGAAAGAGAATATCCTTATTCTTAGGAGATACATGTGGAGGTATTTAGAAGGTAAAGTGGCTTGAATCTGGATGGTAGCTGTGTTTGATAAATATTGCAGCTTTTCAGATTTTTTTCATAACTTTTCATAATAAAAATTTGGGGAAAAAGTTTGCCTTCCGAAGGTATCTCCCTGATATTTCTGTAATACCAAAGGTATTTATATACATATATATAATCTCCAGGAAACTTTCAAATGTATTGAAAAGTAATATAATATTATAATGGAAATTCTCTCTTGCCCTATGCATTCAAAGGTACCCATTTGAACCACCTCAGATCCGATTTTTGACTCCAATCTATCATCCGAACATTGATTCTGCTGGAAGGATTTGTCTAGATATTCTCAAATTGCCACCAAAAGTGAGTGTTGGATAAACGGTCAACTCTATGGCATTATATTTTCTTCTGTAAAACTTGAGTTAAAGTTTGGCATTCTACTCTAAAAGCAACTGTTTGTGTATAGGGTGCCTGGAGACCATCCCTCAACATCGCAACCGTGTTGACCTCCATTCAGCTGCTCATGGCCGAACCCAACCCTGACGACCCACTCATGGCTGACATAGTAAGCATACCCGTTTCCTCTACAACACATACCCTACGTTCTCACTCTCTCTATTTGCCAGAATGTGTGTGCTTGCCAGAGAGAGACAGAGAAAGGGAGAAGGAGAAATCACCTACCATAGGGCATGGTCACACTGCAATCCCTTCTACTCCATTGTTCCACCATATCAATATTTTAGGCATGCACACCCACTACCTGGTGTGTTTCTCAAGCCACTAGGTCCAGAACTCGAGCCAAACAGTTGCCTTGTGGGATCTAGCTTCCTTAACCATCAGGCCATAGGCTGGCCCCATAGCCTATTTTCTGTACTCCTCTAATGCCTCATGTGTGACGATAGCTCCAGCTGCTGGAGCTTACCACTGCAGATCACTTTTTTCCTCCATTAACTCTTTTCCTTTATTTGATCTCAGTCCTCAGAATTTAAATATAATAAGCCAGTCTTCCTCAAGAATGCCAGGCAATGGACAGAGAAGCATGCAAGACAGAAGCAAATGGTATGTTTGCTGCCGTCATTTCACGAAGTGTGTATATATCTATCTCTACATAAATAATTGTGGTAGATATGCCAAATTTGTGCCGTACTCTAGAATGGCTAGTTGACCTTTCTCTCCTATTGCAAGCTTCTCAATATTCAGCAAAATAGCCAGTAGCTCAGCCAGCAGTAGGCTTTTCCTCACGGTTGTCATCTGTTAGCAACACCAGAGGGCAGGCAGCACCTGGTTAACTTTTTTATATTGCTGGGGGTAGCACCGGTGAAGGGGAGGGCGGTAACTCTCAATTCTTTTTTCTAAGTTGTCTTTTTTAACACTGAGAAAGGACTGTATTTGCAAGGAGTAGTAATAGGAATGTGGGGGTAGGAGGGGGAAACTTACATATTTTGTGGAACCGTTGGAGGAAGAGGGGAGAAGGAAAAACTTTCATAGTTTAAGTTGATCAAGTTTCCTCATTTAATGAAATGCAAATGGCAGAACCTGGAGATCAGTATATTCTGGTTCTTGCTGAGTTAGAACCACCTTCAATTTGAGCTAACTAAGTAGCAGTTATGTATTACTTGTAAAAAGAAATACCAAATTAAAATCTAAATTGAAGGTGCTTTGGAGGAATTATCATATATACAATGTATACAAATCTTAGAGCAAAGAAGTTCTTGGAAATAATGTTACAGAGCTTTATCTTACTCCTTCCTGGCATTTTTGTGAACTTTACTGCATTTCACGGTCTGCCCCTCTACAGGCTGGTGAAGAAGAGGTGCTTGATAACCTGCCAGAGGCAGGTGACTCTGACGACCACAATTCAGCACACAAAAGGAAAGCCAGGCAGCTCGGAGGCGCAGAGAAGAAGTTTCACCCTGATGTTTAGTCTTGGTCCATCTTAGTTACTAAATTCTTTGCCACAGTGGTCTAATGTGCCTACCTTTCTTGAATGTTTTTCTTTGTGTTTGATGACATAATTTTTGTACTATAAAAGACTTTGTATATTTGTGTATTCTGTTCTACAGTGATTCTCTGAGTGTAGTTTATTTATCTTGTACGTAACCTATTTTGAAACCTTTTAAACCTGAAAAATAAATAATCATTTAATTTAAAGTATGTGTTTATCCTGAATGTGTGTCTGGGACTGAACAGGCCAGAAAGCTATGTAATCAGAAAGTTAAAATATTTGGAATTGTCCTTTATTTTGCAAACTTACCATCATCACTAAGGACACTGAATGTTTGACTAGATGTAAGATAGCTGTTAGAAACAGTTTAAGTACCCCTAGGCTTTCAGGGTTTTAGCTTTTCGAAAGTCTTAAAAACAGTGTGAAAATAAGATAATGTACTTGTTACTTTTTTTTTTTTAATGAGAGAGATTTTTGCTATAGGGCATGTTCGCTTGACAGAGAGACAGAGAGACAGAAACAGAAATCTCCCTACATGGGTGGCCATGCCACAATCCCTTCCCCTCCATTATTCTGTCAGGATTTTGGGCATGTATGCACAGGGTGCATCAGTTCTGGGACTCAAACCACAGTCAACTACATGGCAGTCCAGTGACGTAACCACTACGCCATCTGCAGGTCCTATGCTTATTAAGTTTTAATGTTTTTATAGCTTTCACTTTTTGTAATTTACATAGTTGGTCAGAATTACCGTGGTGTAACTTCCATTTGTTCAGCAAAAAATATTTTTAAGTTTATTTATTTCCTCCATGAGAGAGAGAGAGACAGCATCCTAATGTTGCAGCCTGCCCCCAACCTTCGGCCAGCCCTAGAACGCACAAGGTGTCCAGACTCAAACCAGAAAACTTTGCATGTGGGATTCCCTCAGAGAGCATCATGTTTTACCATTATGCCACTGACTCCCCCTGCCCCGAACAGAGTCTTTTTTATCTTTAATTTATGGCAGAGTGCATATGTGCTATTGTACACTCACGCAAGAGAGAGGCACCTTTCACAGGCCTGTCATGCCATAGTCCCCTTCAGGCTGCCAGGATCCTCCGCATGGGCTCATGTGCCTCGTGTGTTTTCAGGACACCTGAGCTGAGAACTTGAACCGCAGTCAGCATATGACTTGGGCTCCTCAGTCTAGTACACCGCTGACCACCACAGAGGCCGGGCCCCAGCTGAGTGTTGATGCCCCACATCTCTCAGCTAGCCCCACATCACAGGCACACGTGTGCCTGGCATACTCAGAGGTGCCTGGACTTGAACCAGGAACTTTCCCATGTGGGATTACCTTTGCAGAGTTTGGTGTGTTGCCAATGCACCACTGGCTGCTGTGCAGCAAATACTTATTGGACACACTGTGTCAAGTATTGTGCTAGTGTTTGAGAATGTAATGGTGAGAAATCAGAAATGGGATTAACCAAATCATCATACACATTTAAATAGAGATTACCATAATCCTTTCTCGCGCTAGCATCATTTCATGACAGATACCATTCCGAACTGAATCCCGTACTCAGGATTTTATTAATACACTTGACTTGTCTTTATAATTCTATTTAAATGGCAGAGATAACAGATGTGAACAAAAATCCGTTGATGTGGGAAGAGGTTGCTTGTGCCTAGTGAAAGACTCGAATGCAAATATTAGGTCTGCTCAGGCAGAGAAAGACCATGTCCTGTCTGTCCCAGAGTAGCCGTGATGACTTTATACCTAGGCTGGGCACATGAAATGCACTCGGAACAGGTGATCTCCTTTCTTCGGTCTATGCGTTCCCCTGCACCCTTCCCCAGCAGCAGCCTGCCATATGGCACATGTGGTTTTGGAACCAGTGAAGAAACCAGCAAGCATGAATTTATAAAATCCCATAATGGCAGGTGTTGGCCTAAAAGGAACATAGAATTTCTGACTTCTACAGAATTTTTTTTTTTTTTGGAGAGGTTTATGATGCAGGGCGCATGCGCTCACCAGAGAGACAGAAAGACAGAAAGCAAGAAATCACCCCCAAGGGTAGATGGCCATGCCGCAATCCCTTCTCTTCCATTCTCCTCTAGGGATCTTGGGCATGCATGCACATGCGTCCAACATGACTTTAAGCCACCAGATCCAGGATCTGAACCATGGTCGACTACATGGGAGTTCAGCGACATAGACATTATGCTAATTGCTGGTACCCAGAATTCTTAAACCCACTTCTCAAAATCAGTTACTGTTCTTTTAAAGAAATAAAGAATAAAACCAGGAATTAATTCCAGGCTTGCCTCTTAGACTCATGCGTTCTTAAGTCGGGTTTGGGGTTCTTACAGTCCATTAGTATGTCCACCAGGATGCTTTCTGTTGTGTGGGAAATCCAGCTCAGGACAAACTAAAGGAAGCTCCCTGCCTTGCTAAATGGAACACCTCGGGTAGGGCGAACTGCGTTGGTGGATTCAGAGGCTCAACAATCTCATCGAGATCTTGATCTGCCATCCATCTTTCTCAGGCCATTCATGCCTTAAGTTTCTTCCCCTCCTCAAGTGGCTACCAGCCACTGTCAATGCTATGACTTCTTACATCCAACAGAGGACTCACTTTCCATGGAGCTAGAGCGCCCCCGGAAAGCACTGTGGCCAGAGAAGTGCCCTGTGCCGATGGCGTGGGCGGAGGGAGGGATGGACTGAGGCATGGCTGTAGGAGGGGAGCATGGCCTTTAGGGCAAAGCCTGCACACCTGGTCTGTCGCCACGTCTGGTCAGCTCTACCTGCTTCTCTCCCTACTCTGCCCTGACACTCGAGTTCAAGCTGCCATGTCTCACCTGCACCGGGGCCAGAGCCTTCTGTCTGGTTTCCTTGCCACTATCCTTGGCCCTGGACAGTTGCCACTCCTCACAGAGGTAAGCTTCGTCATTTGATAACGTAAGTCAGCTTTACCTTCCTCCTTAAAACGCTTTGAGTGGCTTCTTTCACAGAATGCCAGGCTCCTTCTCTGACCCACGGGCCTTGCGCGAGCTGGTCCCGGCTTGTTCCATTATGCACCTCCTCACCTGCCCACTGCTCAGACACCGCACTCCAGCCACACTGGCTTGCTTCCGTCTCTTGAACACACAGCTTGTTCCTGCTTCGGGGCTTCCACACGTGCTACTTCCTCTGCTTCCTGGATCCTCCATGATGGTCTGAACTCAGACGTAACAATGGCTGCCTTAAAAAGCCCTTACCTATTCCATCTAAAGGCACCCTAGGCCCTCAGGTACTCTCTGGCAAGTTACCCGATTTTCCTCCCAGCACTCGTACATGTCTGAAAGTGTGCTCATTTGGGGGGATGCATTAACTGACTGCAAGTGCTAAGGATAGAGCGGCTACCCAGCACTTTCCTCTCAAAGTGTAAGAAGTACCAGAGCCAGGGACCAGCAGATGGCGTAGTGGTCAAGGCATCGGACTTCCACGTAGTCAACCTTGGTTTGAGTCCTGGACCTGGCAACTGGAAACTCACACTGGGCACGTGTCATGCTTGCACAAAATCATGAGAGGAGAATGGAGGAGAAGGGACTGTGGCATAGCCATCCCCCTAGGGATTTATTTCTCACTTGCTGTCTCTCTGGCAAGTGCATGCGCCCTATAGAAAATAAAACACACATACACACTCTCTCTCTCAAAACAAACAAACAAAAACAAACAAAAAGCCAGAGCTAAAAGTTATTACAAGTCACCCATCCTCCCTTCTTCTTTAACAAGTACAGAAGACTTGGGCTAGAAAACAGACACCCCTGAGGATAGAAAAGCCCAGGTCCCTCCCCAGCCCAGGGCTAAGTGGGGACACAGGTCAAGAAGACACTGTTCCAGGCTTGGAGGTGCTGCTTCCCCATTGTGTGGCCTCAGTGCTCTCCCCCGTCTTGCCATTTCACTTTTTTTTTTTTTGGAGAGGTTTTTGCTATAGGGTGCATGCGCTCGCCAGACAGACAGAGACAGACAGAGAGACAGAAAGCGAGAAATCACCCCTCAGAGGGGATGGCCACACCGCAATCCCTTCTCCTCCATTCTCCTCTCGGGATCTTGGGCATGCACGCACATGCACCAGGCGTGAGTTTAAGCCACTGGGTCCAGGACTCGAACCGCAGTCAACTACATGGGAGTCCAGTGACATAGCCATTATGCTAACTGCCGGTCCCACCATTTCACTTTTCGCCTCTGTAAAATGGGGATAATGGGTCAGTCCTTGGTGTGGTTAAGGCGGCTGGATCTCACGTGGCTGAATATCCAGTTCCGAGTCCGGGCTCTAGTGGTCTGAGAAACACTTGGGTGTGAGTGCATGCGTGCCCAAGATCTTGAAAGGAGGACAAAGTGCAGGAGAAAAGTAGTGTGACCATTCCCTGTGGGGGTGAGGTGCTTTTTCACCTCTACCTTTTTCTTTGTCTCTCCAGTGAGTGCTCACGCCCTGTGGTGAAATTAAAAAGAAGGAGAAGAAAAAGAAGAGGAAGAGAAGAAAAGAAAACATGATTAATGATGGTACTTAACTCATGAGATTGTGGTGAGGACTGAATGCAGTAGTGCCCATAAAGCACCCAGGGCAGGGCCTGGCACAGCGCTGGCATTTACTGAGTGCTCCGCAGGGACTGAGGAGGACAGTGGTCCAGCCACGGCCCAGCCCAAGGAGCTGCTCTGCCCACCGCCAATCTGCGTGTTCCTAGGACAAGCCAGTCGAGCATTTCTCAACTCCAAAGCCCTAATTAAAGAGCAGAGATGACATCTGTGACTGATCACATAAACACTGCAGATTCCAAGTCCCCCTCTCCTGCTGTCCCCAGCCCCCTCCACCTCTCTCCAAAAGCTATCTAAATAAGAGCAGGTTTTACCACCCACCTTGTGGGCAGAGGAGCTGAGGCTGGGACTCGCTATTTATCCTTAGGCTGCTGCGGGAATTCAACACATACAAATAAAGCTCCTTTTCCAGCCAAGTGTGTATTTTTCCATCAGCGTGTGGCCCCCCTGCCCAGGTTGTCTTGTTTAGGTTGGGCAGCCTGTGGGAGGGAGGGACAGGGAAGGCGTGTGGGGCTGTGGTTTCAGAACCTGCTCCCCAGGATGGCTGCAGGGCTGCCTGTGAAGCCAGGACGGGCTGGGGCACCTCACATGGGCCAGCCGTGCATCGAAAAAGCACATTCCACATTGTCCTTGGTCCTTGGCAGGTCACCGCTGCCTCCTGCCATGGCCCCCTGAGAGTGCCATCCCACTCTCCAGCTCTCAGTTCACGCCAAGGATGACAGGTTATCCAGCGTCTCTCACCACTTCCTGCCTTCCACCCCGCTGTACCTTGCTCATCCCTTCCCCTGCGCCCACATTCCACTAGGTGGTGTCCCCTTCTTTCCTTGCCTTCCTCCCGTAACCAGGACCCTGAAACTCTCTGCTTCAAACAAAGGTCTTCTCTGGGGGCTCCTTCCTTACAAACTCCCATCAGAGGCACTTGTTCAAGGGGTGAGTTCCTACTCTAGGCTCTCTCTAGACCTGGGATTACTGCCAGGCACTAAGCTAATCTCTTTACATGAAAAATATTTTCCATAACCTCCAGAGAGTAGGCACTCTTATTGTTCCCATCCTGCTGCAAATGAAAATGACCCAAAGAGGTTAAATAACACATAGGACAGCTGGCCATGACCAGTAATCTGGGATTCAAACTCAGGCCCGTCCAGAATCAGACGTATCCAGAATCGTGTTTATCAACTGTATGGGTTCTGTTTTAACATTTACCCATCTGTCTGCTCAGTTCCCAGCAGAGGAGCTGTGCCCAGTGGGTAAGTTCTTCCCCTTCAGTTTCCTCTGCTATAAGAGGAGGTGGTTCAGGTCCAGCAGTTGGCGTAATGGCTATGTCGCTGAACTCCCTTGTAGTCAACTACAGTTCAAATCCTGAATCTGTACCACAAGGCCCAGCCCCATTGTTTCTTCTGGTCTCAGATTTGCTGAGACTCTGCTTCACTTTGTGCTCCCCGCGTGTCCTCTCGAAGAGCACACACTTCCTTGGCTTAACCTCTGGCTTGCTCTCTGGGGGGAGTGGTTTGGAATGGTGTCTTTGAGAGAAGAGGAGGACAGGAATTCACGAAGGCACCAAGTGTAGTGTCCTTTCAGAAAGGAGTCAGGCACAAGGCCAGGAAGGCCCTGATGCCACTACAGGGTTAGAGCCGCTCTACCCTCCCCAACTCCCACCCAGGGCAAGTTTTTGTAACTCATTCCCTTCCCCCTCCTCCAGAAGGGGCTGCCTGGTTGTCTCAGGGCATCATCCCATTCTGAAGCAAGGCTCGAGGGAAAAGGCTCCCAAGGCAGAGGGCAGGTGAGGTGGTTCGCCCAAGGAGAGCAGAGCAAGCTGATTCCTTGGGGCTCCCGGTATCAGGAAAGCCCAGCAGTAGGCCTGGGTCAGAGAAGGAGATCAGGGACTGAGCCATACACACCTGCTGCATCCTTCAACTATTCTCTTAACTCAGTGCCAAGCACAAAGGACACTTCAATATGGGTGAGTGGCATTGATCCTGATGCCTCCAAACTTCAACACTGAGCCCTCTCGATGTGCCCCAGAACTCAGAAGGTTAAGGAAGAGCCTTGACGCTCTGATCACACTTCCCTCAAAGCAGCCCCACCTGTGGCCGCACGCCATGGCTCTAGCAGAAAGGCACTGAGGGACATGCATGGGACTTCACTGGTGTTTTATTATACAGAAGAATCCAAATATTTATATCTTGACAATTCTTATACTTCACACAGCTGGAGTGGCATGGGACTGGAACCCGGAAGTGACACAGGGGTGGCGGGTGACACTGGGAGAACTTGCTAAACCGGAGCAGAGGTAGTTAGAGGAGATGGTACCAGAGAGCATTGGGGTTTCCCCCATTACCCTCACTCAGGCCTACTAATGCTTGTCAGCGCTCTCCCCCTCTCACTCTAAACCATTTACCCTTCCTGAAAAAGGGCTCTGGAAGGAAGTTGGTGGCTGGAGGAGGAGAGAGGAAGACAAAGAGCCCAGCCAGAGGCTCTGTTAATCTGTAGTTTCAAATCTCAGCTCTGCATGTTGGGAATTTCCTCTTGGTGTGTGTGAAGGTGTCTCAGAAACTGTGGTCCACAGTGAGAAGTTCTCCTCAAGCTGGTCTAAGAGGAGACTCGTTGGCTTCAGGGGCCACAGCACCCAGAGCTAAGTCCCAACTTTCCCATCACCAGAGTCCCCTCAGTTGGATTCTTCCCCACGGACACTGTTTTGGAAGAGTTGTCAACCAAATAAAATGCATTAATGTACATTGAATAGTTTGTTTTTTGATTTTGTGATTAATCAAAGACATAGATAATCTTCACAATCATTTACCAATCATTATGGAGATAAACAAAGGAGTAATACACTTAATTGCTAGAAATTAAGTCAAAAGCAAAAAACAGACACTTTACTGCATAGCCTTCTTTTGGGTAAATGTACAAGATCTACCAGGCTTTTTGAATAATGAAAAAATTCCTGGCAAACACCTCCACTCCCTTTCCCTAAGCCTCTCCTCTGATCAGTAGTCCAGCCTCTGCAGATACCCTTATCATTAGAAATAGACAATGAGGTGACAGTGGTGCCACCATCAAGCTGGCAGCCAAAAGTCACTGGACCCCTTTTCATAGAAGAAGCCACCTGTAGGGAACCATTCCTAGAACTAAACCTCTATGCAGACCACTCCTCTCCACCTCAGTGCGGGCTCCCTAACCTAAGAGGAACAGTGGTGGTGGTTGTGGTTGGGGGCAGAGAATGAAGACAGCCTGTGGTGACTTCTTAGGAATCAAGGCTCCCCAAATCACATCAGCTTTGTCATCTCTAGGACATCTCAGAGAACTCGTTTCCCTGACAAAAGTCACCAATTCTCAGCACCCAAAATAGAAGAAACCCCTTTCATCACTCCTTCCATCTTGATCAGCCCTGAGGAAATAGGAATACCAGCGGTTCTCAAATGAACAGCGAATAAGTCAGTCCACCATCATTTACTGAGTGTCTACTCTGATGCTGACCTAATGCGAGGACCCTAAGCTCTTCTCAAATGATAAGACCAGCACATGCTGCTTTCAGCATCTCTGAGAATCCAGGCAACTCAACTAGTCAAATGACATTGAGAACCACGTCAAGTCCCCTCCCTCGTCTCTGCCTCCTGCCTCTACCCCAGCCGAGGCAGCCTGTTGCCTATGTCAGAATTATTACTAGGCACTGGGCTCAGCCAGGAGAGAGCAGAGAAGCTAGGCTATGGGAACCTGCACATAAAACTAAAAGGCTTTCCTCAAGACCATCTTAATGGGAAGACCCCGGGGTTGTACCTGGCTAAGGACATGACAGGATCCAGGAACAGTGTGTTCCATTCGCTTTCAGAATTTCAGACTGCCGTCCTGATGTGACTGATGTTGGGATGCCCTAGAATAAGTGCCATTGTTTTCTGAGTCTTGGATTATCTTTTCATGTATGTAAGACTCCTCTTTCATATCTGCAAGCATGCCCCAGCTCTCACCTCCTCACACTGAGATGGAATGTGTGAGTACCTGGGGTGGGGGTAGGTGGCAGCCACTCTGGTAAACCCCAAGGAAACATGATCATGGGGAGAGTCAGGAGGGTCACTTTCCTATCTGGGGCACCTAAGAGCCCCAGACCCCTACAGTGCTTCCTACAATACAAATATCCATCCCCTTTGCTGAGAAGGCGGGACCTGAGATGAGAAGGGAGGAGCAGGCTTGGGGCAGGAGGTGGCAGGGAAATCTGATGTAGAACCACACGGAGGCAACGTGGTTGCCAGAAGAAACCCAGATATTTACAGACTTCCCTGCATGTGTCCTGCCAGGATCCAGGACCCCTCCCACTTGCTGTGGGAAGAAGTTTCATTGGTGCTTGGTCTGGAAGAGAGGAAGGGGGTCTGAGCACACATGGGGATATCCTTGCCTCCGCCCCAAATAAGGGCCTGAGGTTGAAACTTCAATGGCAGGCTCCTCCCATCTTTCCCAGGGTGGGCTAAGAAAGGTGGTGGGAGCGTGTGGGACATCTGTCCTGTTTGATGGAGGTACAGTTCTCCTGGCACTTCACCCTGGGCCAAACTCCTAGGATCAGGACTTTCATGGGATGGTGGCACCCTGTCCTTGGCGGCACTAGGTGGTACCAAGACAAGCCTCTGGGGAGAGAACAGTGCTAAGTTCTGTGAGATGGTAACAGGTATCAGAGGGCTTCAAAAATTTCATGGAAAAATGGAATTAAAGTATGTGTTTATTTTTGTACAAAAAAACCTGAAATCCATGCATTGTTTTTCATAATATGTACTTTACATGGACTTTTTGAAGACCCCTCATATTTCACGAAAGCCAAACAAGCAAAGACTTGTCAAATAATTTGAGGAGCTAGTTTAAACAAAGTTCAGCCGAGGTCACTGCGGCATGGATTTGCAGGGCCTTCATGACGCTGGCATGCGTGGGAATCGCTAAGGAAGAGGCCTACGGTATAACTGCTCCCAAACTTACTTTAACAGCAGGTCTTTCGCATGGCATATGTCAAGGTTAATGGGACACAGAACATATCTTGTATCCTTTCCATGAGTCACAGGGGAGAAGTCGGAACACCTTCGGCAGTCCCCTTTCAGGCCTTTCTTGGTGAGGTCTGAGGCAGGGCCTGCTCATCCCCCGACCCCCTTCACTGTCTTTTACTGCTCTTGTTTCCCTTAAGCAGATAAATGTCTCTGAGCTACAGCGTCTGGCAGGGAACAGGCCCCACATGGAGGTGAAGTTGAGGAAGGCCAAGAACAAAGCAGGCCAAGAAACGCTCCCTGGCAATGGTTGCAGTGGGGCCAGAATGGCGCGGTTCTGCTGTGCTCCCCGCTGTTGAATTTTGGTTGTATTTACTTCGTAAGCAGCCATTGTTCATGGAGTGGGTAGGGAGGGAAAGGAAGAGGTTGGAAGAGAAGAATGGAGAGGGACATTTATAAGTGCGAGGCAAAGGCTGAGCCGGAGGGCCGGAAGCCCCCGCCCACCAAGGCACCCCCGTCTGCTCCCTCTGCCCTCAGCAGCAGTTCTCCATCCACCGAGGATTGAGGGTTCCCAAAGTGGGTCCCCTCTGGCTCTACAAAATGGCTGCCCTCCAGCCTGGGGGCCCCTGGCTGCTGACAGGAGATGAGGGTCAGAGAGGGGAAGCCATAGGTCTCTAGCCCAGGGGGCCGCCCAGCCTCCGACGCTTCCAGAATGAGATCCACATCAGAGAAGGCCACCAGGGCCTGGGTGGAGTCGCAGGAGCTCTTCTCCAGCTCACCAGCAGCAGCGTAGGCCAGGGGCCCGGGGCCAGCACGGGGCCACAGCCGCCGCAGGTCATCTCGGAAGTGAGGGTTGAAGAGCAGGTAGAGCAGGGGGTTGAGGCAGGCAGGCAGGGGCAGTACCACGAGCAGGACCGACTTGACGGCCTCAGGGGTGACGGGGAACAGGCCCAGCATGGAGGCGAGGCTGAGGAAGGCCACGGGACAGTAGAGGAGCCCATCTGCGAAGATGAGCCAAGCCACGTGCCTCACCATGGTGCAGTCCCATACAGCTTCAAAGTCACCTCTGGGCAGGTCACAGTAGAGTTTGATGTAGGCACCGGCCACCACCAGGAAGCAGAAGGAGTTCATCATCACGAGGGCCACGGCGAAGCCCAGGGCAGCTGGCTGGCCCTCGGGTGGGGCATAGGGCAGGCAGAGTGGGGAGGCCCCATACTCTCCCACTGAGGCAAGGGGCAGGGCCGCGGCCACACCAGCCAGCGTCAGACAGCCCAGGGCCCCGGCTCGAACACTGCCCAGGGAGGGGGCTTTCCCGTACGCCCGGACACAGGACACAGACACGCTGCACTGCACCGCAGCCAGGGTCAGCAGCAACACCGAGGCCTCCGACCCAAGGACAGCCAGGAAGCCGGTGGCCTGGCAGCCCAGCCCCATCTCCCAGCGGGCTCCATACTCGGCGAACTGGCCAAAGGTCAAGGCGTCAACTGAGGCTAGAAGACCGCAGGAAATGCCAGTCAACGTGTTGGCACCTGCAATTGCACCTACCACAAACTTGACTGGGGGCAGGGGGCCAGACCCTCCGGCAAACACAGTGAGCAGCACCAGCCCGTTACAGAGCACGGACAGCAGCACGATAGCCCACACGGCCAGGCGGATGCCCCAGCTCTCAAAGAGGTGCTCGCAGGGCTTGAAGGGACCTGTAGGAGAGAGGATGGGACATTACCCCTGGGCCAGAGGCTGCTTGGAACCCAGGTCTGGGGACAGGTCAGCTTTTGCCCTTGAAAGACTCCCTGTCTGAGGGAGGCTGGCCTGGCCTCTGCCCATGGAGGACTCGCCATGTGACGGAGGCTGGCCTGGCATCTGGCCTGGAGGACTCCCGGCCTGAGAAGGGCTGTTCTGGCCTCTGTCTCAGAGGACTCCCAGTCTGAGGGAGGCTGACCTGGCCTCTGCCCTCGGAGGACTCCCAGCTTGAGAAAGGATGGCCTGGCCTTTGCCCAAGAGGGACTCCCAATTGGGGTTGAGGGGAGAAACAACAGGGACATAGAGCTGCAAAGAGCTGCAACCGGGATGAACCTTAATGCTCCTTCCAATGCACACAGAAATTAGAGACCCACATAAACAGGCAGGGTACGAGTTCATACGGGCCAACCCAGGCGCTGAGGAAATATAGAGCAAAGTAGTCCTTCCAAAGGGGCAATGTGTGAAAGAAAGGTGAGAAGACCTCAGAACTGGGGATCTGGCTGGGGCAGAGACACAGAGGCGAGGGGCATCCCGGGTGGTCACCACTCCATGGCCCGAGACACTACTCCAGCCAGTCTGTGCCCAGTGATCCACTGAGCATGCCTCTGTGGGTGGGCCCTGGCCAGATCCGTAGAGGCTGGCTCTCCCTTGCTCTGAGAAAGGGTGCAGACAACTCAGATCACGTTGATTGGTTTTGGGGAAGCAGAGGACCAAGAAAATCCGAATACAGATGGCTTCTGGAGTTTCCAGGCTCGGCACTAGGGTAAATCCTGATGTTTCTCATTTCTTTCCCTGGAGTCTGCTCCTAACTCACCTTGTAACTTTGGACAGATTATTTCTTCATTTCCTTTGGCTCCAGATTCCTGTTCTTCAATGCATTGCTAAGTAGCTTGGGAATTTGAGCGGTTTTGTGGAAACTGTTTTACAACATATATTCTTTTGATTACCAAATGATAGATGGTAATTGCAGAAAATTTGAAAATATAATGTGGAAAAATTAAAACCGCTTATGACCTCATCTCTCAGAGAGAACTTATTATTTTGATATGTTCCCTTCTAGTTTCAAAAAGACACATATTGATTTTTAAATAAATTGAGATTTCCTCTATGTAACTTTTTATTCTTTTTAAGTTAAACTTTTATTTTATAATTTATAATTTTATAATTCCTACTTTATAACTTTATTATTCACACTTGCTCACATCCGTATGTTTCTCATAAACACATTTTCAGTGACTGTATAATGACTATTCCACTATCTGCATGCACCATAATTTATTTGCCCATTTGTATGCGCTATTTTAAAAGCAAGTTCACAATGGAACTCATCTTTTGGAATTTTCTTTTTTACCTCATCCCTATTCATTATCGGCTTTCAGAGGTGAAATTTCTGTGGCAGTGTGAATGAAGCATGTGGGTTTCCAAGCCAAAAGTGACAAAACGAAACAAAACAAAAACCCACCACCTGCTTCATCTGGGTGGGGTTAGTGCTCTGGCCCCGGGCTGGCACTAGGGGGCATGCTGTTGTCACGAAGTGCCAAGAGCTGCCGATGGGCGAGAGTAGGCAAGCACTCCAAGCTTTAGAGAGGGCGAGGGGAGAAGGGCCAGGGTCTTTGCAGGGTCTGTGCCAAGGAAAGATGGGAAGGTGGAACAGAGGGGCAGGGGGGATTAGAAGAAGTGAAGTGTTCTTCGCTTTCTGTTCATTCTGGACAGAGCCTACCCTAGACTAAGCTGCATGCCGCTGCCTCTGGGGCGGCCTGCTCGCATGTTACATGCACGAGAAGGACCTTCTTCACTCCAGGCATCTTGGGTTGCATTGCACCAAGGAGAAAGAGATCTTTCCTCTTCCTCAACTCTAAAAATTGGGCAGTTCTGTAAGAAGAGTTTACATTCTGCAGAGTTTTTGTTGAGAGACTGCAATATCCTGGAACAGGGCTGAGAGGAGCAGAGAAAGTTCCAGAATCCACCACTCTCAGCTTCTGTGATGTGGATCTCAGACTGAGGGAGTGTTCAGAGCAGACTCATGCACCATCCTGGGCAATGGAGTCAAGGCATTCTTTCTCTTGTCTCTCTCAGGTGAGAGTGGTTTTCTCTCTGGTGCATACCCTTTCACAGGCTGCTGTGTAAATGTTGCTTGATTCCTCCTGTCTCCCAGGCTGCCCCCCTAAGCAGCCACCCAAGAGAAGGAATTATGAGAAGAGGACTCACCCCCAGCAGGTTGGATGTCAAGCAAAGTGCCTGAAGCAGGCTGCAGGCATACCAGGCTGAACAGGCATCTCATCTCGGTAGATGGCTGGGTACCCCTTCCCCACCCCACTTTTTTCTACTCCCTAGGCACCCGTCTCACCTGGAACGGGGCTACACTGGACACTGGGCTGTGGCCTTGAATCCTCCATCTCCAGCTGGAGTTCCTCCAGGTCCAGGTCATCTGAATGGAGACAAGACAGTGGCTCAGGGTTCTGGGTCTTGGTGTCAGTCAAGCTCCCCACTTTCTCCAAATGCCCGTCCCTTGAAACAGCTGTCCCTAACTGACCGCTCAGCACTGCTCATGCCAGCAGCCCTGCCTATCGTTTTCTACCCCGGGGTCCAACATCTGGCTGGCTTCCTATCATTGCATGGGGAGTACAATGTTCTGTAGGGCAAGCTCTACCCCCAGAGCTGCTGCTCCTGTTCCCCGGCACACACTTGCGTGCCTTTTCCCATTGGCCTTCGCCGCCAGTGCTGCAGACAGTTCCAGTGGGGGCTGACTCGATAACAGGAGCTACTGATCCACAGTTTCCCACTCTGTCCAGGCAGTCACTATAAATCCAAATTACACTTAGGAAAGCTACTGGTGAGCTGAAGTGTGTTCAGAGGCCAAGC